AGTACAAGAGGTATGAACATTTTTGCAGCTGCCAGAAATTTGAATGCCATTAAAAATCAACTTGTCTACTCACACATACGTAGTATACAAACCTGGAATAAACACCTGCTTATTTCATAGGCTCCACTGAAAGAGCTTCTTCCCTGGACCATCTGTGCAGCCAGCAGAGTCCAGGCCTCCGGGGTCAGAGGAATCGTTACATTAAAAACCACAGAGAAAACAACTGCAATGGAGGCACCGAAGCAGAGGATGGGCTGATGTCTCCAACTGAAGAGGACGGCAGCGGCTATGGAGCATTCACCCTCCCCTGTCGGCGATCTCACTGTCTGTCTGAGGGATTGTCAGGGCTGGGGATCCCCTCCGCGCCTTGCCCCGCCTTCCAGGGGCGTCGTGCGCATACTACTCAGGTTTGATCCTGTTTCTTAAGTCTCCTTTCCTTTTTTTTGTCTTTCTTTTCAGTCCATTTTATTTTTTTTCTTCAGAAATGAACTCAGATTGACTTTGTGCATCAGTGTTTCTCAGGAAGTTCAGAGGGTCAGGACCACAGTCAGTTTAATACTTATCCTCGTGAAGACAACCAGACATTTCCTGCCGTTTTATGTAAACACTCTGCATGTGTCTTTTTTTTGTTTCTGGAAGAGTATCCTGTTGCTTTTGCACACATATTCTACAGATAAACATCTGATTGAGACATTTTAGCTCTATTTACAGCATTTTATTATCTGCAGCTGAACAAATCAAAGATTTAGAGATGTCATGATATGTGCCTTTGATGTAAAAAAGCCATCAGGAGGGCAGTACTGAAATAGTTAACCATGCAATGTGTTCAGCTGATTTTCATAAACTAAAGTGGTTATTTTAAATTGTCTGACAGAGCAGAAGGTTGTTGGATATAAACAGAGCAAAACATGGCAAAAAAAAAAAAAAAAAAAAAAAAAAAAAGAACCCAGATTATCTGTATTAAGATATTTTAAAATGTGAAAATCAGATGTCATTTAAAAATGAAATCTATGGAATGTAACCGTCGATGCAGGATTTCTATGCATTGAAAACCTCCAGAGGTGTGATGTAATCAAGTTTCTTTCAGTATGCACCGTTTGTACTCAGAAAAGTAACATCTAATCATTTATGCATGATTTCAACTGTCAGGTTGCGTTATGAAAACTTGAATTATGTATTCACCATCAAATTAGTTATTCAGGTCACTGAAAGTGCAGTTTCATTCAGGGGTTTGTATTCGGATGGTTCAAATGGACATGCATCAATAATCCCAAAGCAAATAAGTTCTGGATTCGCCGTGTGTTTCTGTTGGACAGGACATCTCGGGTGCTATGGGAGATGGAAGTGAGTACAGCGACAGCGGCATCGATGGCGTTGCCACAGAGACGGATGCAGACGGCGAGCTGATCTCCCGGCGGTGTAAAGCCATGTCGGCCTCGTTCTCTCTCTACTCGGCAGCAGAGAGCAGCGTCTTTAATGGCAGCGACAGTGGGAGCAGCAGCGCGGGTGGAGGAGACGGAAGAGCTGCTGTGGGATGCAGAGGAGGAGTATATGAGAATTTCCGGAAGGAGTTAGAAAGTCAGGTCTGTGTTTTTTTAAATTTATTTTTTTTATTTACACACCTTTTAATGTGTTTAATAATCTTGTTTTGTCTCTGATCTCTTTGTCTTTCAATCATTCATCAGACGAATCAGGGCAGAGATTTCCCTGAGGAGGCCAGTTCGGCTGTAAGTGATGAGCAGAGCAGCGGCACTCTCAGCAGCGCCTACCCATCTGACACGTTGACTGGCTGCGCACAGGGCACAGTCAGGAAAGCTGGAGCTTTAGCTGTGAAGAACTTCCTGGTTCACAAGAAAAACATGAAGGTGGAACTCGCAACAAAGCGCAAGTGGAAACAGTACTGGGTGTCTCTAAAAGGTACAATCTCATAGCATTTTTTGTTTGGGTTAAAATAGAAGAAAGATTTTAACAAAAATGACGTCACACAATGCTCCACTTCAGCCGTGATTCTATATATTATACAGTACAGTACAGAACTTAACCACATTGCATTGCATATTATCTGATATAAAAATGCAACTCTGCATAAGCATTATATCAACATCATTAGACTTTTTATTTTTTTCTTTACCATGGACTTTGTTTTAAAGAGTATCAACGGGTTGTGGTTTGATTTTCTTAAAGCCTCCTGTTTGAGCGTCATCAGTAATTTTCAGACCTTTTCTGGCGTTCTCGCAAATGCTAAAGACGTTAACTGTATCCCAAAGCAGCTCTAAAAAAATCCCCACTGGGCCTGTTTCTGTGGTTGTAACATTCACTTAAGTGCGTTCTGCTTCTTAAAGCCTTTTTCCTTTGTGCTTATGGTGAAAAACATTATTATATGAAGAAAACCTTGCAGCCATAACGTCAGACTTGAAAAAGCATCTTAACATGATCCTGATTCGTTTAATCTTCCACACTCTCTCTCCTGTTAGAATGTAATCACATCAGACTAAACTCAGCCGATGCCCTTGTTTGTCACCCTTACTGTTTTCTCACTCACAGAGCTCTCTGTGGCTGCGCATTAGCTCTGCTCAGCCTCATCACAATTTAATTTTACGGCAGGATCTGAGTCTAATCCAATCTGGTCCTTTTAAAATTCATAAGATACAGAATCTGCAGCTGCATTCCTGCCTGCATCCTCTGTTTATTTCAATTTTCTAAAATAAGCAAATGTGGCTTATCTTCCTGACCTTGGGTTAAAAGTTCATATCAATAAGTAAACAGTACTTTGGTTTAAAGAAATTAAGTTTGTTTGTGGGCTTATCACAATGTTTTCCTTTCCTCCCTCTTTTTTTTTCTTCTTGTTCTTCAAGGCTGCAGCCTCTTCCTGCATGAATCAGATGGTCGCTCGGTAATTGACCATAACAACGTTGCTAAACATGCCTTGTGGGTGGAGAACAGCATTGTGCAGGCCGTGCCCGAACATCCCAAGAAAGACTATGTCTTCTGTCTTAGCAACTCAATGGGGGATGCATTTTTATTCCAGGTGAGAAAATCCATTAAAAAGAACAACTTCCAAGTGACATTTTACTTTCTAAGGGATTATCAATATAATTGTCCAGAGAAAACACAACTAATTTAAAAATCAGAAGGAGTGCAGACGGATGGCCATGAAATATTAGATTTCCTCTGGGGATGTGTAGGCTATGTGTCTGACACTTGAATACGTGACCTTTGGCTATGTATGGAGAAATGACAGCCCTGTGTCCATGTGTTTGTTTTATGTCTGACATGTTTAAAGGCCACACTGTCACAGTGTGACAGTGATCCACAGCAGTGACTATTGCAAATATTGAAATTTATCTATTTATATTCATGAAATTTCCTCATAAGGAATAGGGGAAATATTATTTAAATGGCGATAAGATTAAATTGACAACGTTTGTCTGTTAAACCAATGTTGTAACTTGAACATTAATTTATATAGCTGTCTGTTGCATGCTTCAATGCATTCCATAAATCATTTGTGAAAATGTTGAAGATGTGGTTATATATACATAACATTTTAACAACAAGCCGCGAGGAAATGTAAGCACAAAAGAGCTGAGTGTCAATTCAAAAGTTGATGGAAAATAATTTGTTATATTTGTCTTAGTCTTACAAGTGTTCGATAATTTAAAGGCCACTGAGAAGGTAAGCAGTCATTATAAAATTCTCCAGCTCACATTTTGCTTCATAAAGTGGGCATTTTTGTGGTGACGTATGGTGAAATGTGCTGACGTGACATTTCTGGAGGCATTAAGGCTTGGAAATTTAACAAAGTGGCACAGGAAATTAAATCTGCACATAATTTGTCAAATAATGGCTTTTGTCTCTCTAAAAAGACTTTTTTGTTTCAGAAAAGGCCATTTTAAAAGTATTTTATCACTTGGACAAACAATGCAAGCCCAACATTGATTTTGTTTTATTTCATACCTTCATTAGCTTTACTTTTTTATTTGTTTTGCTCTAAAATATGCCATCTGGCCTTTAAGCTATAAACCTATCACTACTACTATTTCTTAACAGACATCAGGCCAAACCGAGCTGGAGAACTGGATCACGGCGATCCACTCTGCGTGTGCTGCAGCTCTTGCCCGACAGCACCACAGGGAGGACACCGTTAGGCTGCTCCGAACCGAGATCCGCAAACTGGAGCAGAAGATCGACATGGACGAGAAAATGAAAAAGATGGGAGATATGCAGCTTTCCGCTGTCACTGATGCAAAGAAGAGGAAGACCATACTGGAGCAGGTGCAGAACAGAGAATTGTGATAATCTATAACGGAAATCTGGCAGATCAACCGGATGCAAAGACTTATCATATTTTTAAAAGGGCATTTCCGCCGTCTCTCTCAATACAGCAAAACGGGCACAACTCGTCCTGGTTGTTCTGACTTTGCATACATGGCACATGAATGCTTGGGATATCATGTGTCAGGAAAGCAATCTTATTTTAATCTGTGAAAGCACATCCTTCAACTTTTAGTATCTCACTGAGTTTGACACTAAATCACCTTCTCTGTAGAGTGTCAATCAAACAAAAGAATCTTCTTTAGAAGCATATGGAACCACAGATGTTTTGATATATATATATATATATATGATATATATATATATATATATATATATATATATATATATATATATATATATATATATATATATATATATGTGTGTGTGTGTGTGTGTGTGTGTGTGTGCCTGTGGCATCATACAAAATCTCAAAGACATGCTGAAACACATGGTAAACACACCTTAATTCTTCTGTGTTTAATAGATATATATTTTTTTCATTTTCACTCAAACAAAACCTTCTTTTCATTCCATGCAGGTGTGGGGGCGTGGTTAAATTATACACAGAATGCTTTAATGTAAAACTGATTAAAACGACTTCCTGAGATTTTAGCAGGCTGAAAGGATGACGTTTTACATAAAAGGCAAACAAAAAAAATCTTCTATTTAATGGAAGTGTTTGACTCTCCTCCATAAAGCGATGTTAATAGTTAACCAGGGTAGTCAACTGCACCTAATTTGTTTTAAGGGCAACATTTGGAAAAGCTTGTATTTTATAACAGGTTTTACAAAAGTAGTAATGTGGTTGGGAATCTGTGTAAAATTAAAAGGCATCGTAGATAGTATTTGTATATCAAGCCAAACAAACAGACGACGGCAAAAACTAATGCAAATGAAGCCCTGCTAGTGTTGTGTTCATGTTCCACCTCCCACGGCCCACCCTGCGATGCTCTGCACACATCACTGCAGGTCGGCAACTGGTGGGGGCTGTGCTGGTGAGTAATGTCTCGCTGCAGGGGCTTCAGCACTCCCACATAACTCCCCTCCCACAATGACCAAGCGACTATGTAACACCAGGCAAGCCTTCAGGCTTGTTCAAGGCTTTTTTTTTTTTTTTTTAAATTAGTTAGTGGTCAAATTTGAAATAAATTAGTATAATAACAGGGAGGTTTGCTTACGATGCATAATTACCTTTCTTGGACGCATTCGGTTGTTTACACTCCAAACTTTTCTGTTTGTCAGATTTTTTTGTGGGAGCAGAACTTGGAGCGGTTCCACATAGACCTCTTCCGCTGTCGCTGCTACCTGGCCAGCCTACAAGGTGGTGAACCTCCAAATCCCAAACGCCTCCTGGGTTTTGCTTCACGTCCCACCAAAATGGCCATGGGTCGCCTTGGCATCTTCTCTGTGTCTTCCTTCCATGCACTGGTAGGGCAAAAAAATGATTGTGCACACAAACACACACACTCCCATATAATATCCATGTCTGGTGAACCATTTCCAGGTTTTTCCTCTCCTGGCTGTTCTTCTTTGAGCAAATTAGAGCTCCTGAACATATTGCACGTGTCCTTACATGCTTAAGTAGGTATTTTGTTTGAGGCTTCAAACAGCCAACCCTCAACAGGAGCTCAGCTTGGAGAGTGCGGGTGTGTTTGTGTTGCTGTAAATGTTTTGTCATATATGCCTGCCCGAAAAAAAATTAATTTCTGCTTCATTTATAAAGCAAATACGCTGAAACAACAGGCGTCTCCAGCTTTTTGTCTTGACATTTTAGCAAAAGTTAATAAATATTTTTGCAATTATTGTAATGATACAAAAATAATTTTGATTGTGTATGTCAGGGGTCTACAACTCCAGTCCTCTTTTGTCAGCTCCTTGCAACTTTTAGATGTGTCTCTGGTTCAGCACAGCTGAGTCAAATAATGAGGTCATCAACTTGACTCTGGAGAACTTGACCTCGTACCGAAGAGGTAATTCAGCCATTTCATTCAGGTCTGCTGGACAAGGGACACATCTAAAAGCTGCAGGACATCGGCCCTTGAAGACTGGAGTTGAAGACCTCTGGTGGAAATTTATTTTATTGCACATTTGGACCTTAACTTCATCTATTGGCCAAATTAAAATCAGTACACAGCCTTCAATGTTAGAACCAGAAACTCCAATGCATCTTGTTGGGATTTGGTGGAAGAGACAAACATGTCGGAGAAGTGTTTGGATGTTGGGAGAATGAGTGCTGAAACGAGCTGATTAACTAACAGGTTGCAGATGTGAGGGGAGAAAATAGAAGGTAGACTGAGGAGAGAAAAAGAGAAAATGACACAAGGGAGTTAGGAGTAAACACAAACAGGGGGACTGGGAAATAAAATCTAACCCAGACAAAAAAACTGAGCACAAATAAATAATAAAAATAATCTAGCTAAAATAACTAAGGACAGACTGAACTAAAGTGGAACAGAAACAAGGCCAATCTGATCAAGACAAAGAATAACTAAGGCAAGCACAGACCACAAATAATGAAAAATACAAAACAAACCAAGAACCTGAAAGTAAACTTTCCCTTATGTTGTGGAATTTTTTAAAATCGTCCCATCCGATAAAAATCACAACAACATGAAATGACGTCTGGTTGTTGACAGCTTTAAGTTATGACACAACCCAGGTCATTATCTCTGTGCTATGTTTGGTATTTGAACGTCTTCAAGAATTGCCAGAATGAGACGCCAGAAGAGATGACCTGCACCAGCGTCAGCAAAACCGAAAGGGAAAAGAGATTAAATTTATCATCCTGTCTTAATACAACATATTAAGGGTTTTAGTTTACTCAACAGAATCGGTAACACTTTATTTGAAGGGATGTGCATAAGACTAACGTAACACTTGTCATGAGCATGAAGGAGTCTTTATGCTCATTCGATAAATAATGGCACTTTTAGTGCAAAGTTGCTCTAAAAGTTGCATTAAAAGTCCATTAAAAATGCCAACTTTGCATGATTTTGTAAATTATGATAATTTACTGCAAAGTTGGCATTTTTAATTAACTTTCAATGCAGTTTTTAGAGCAATTTTGCATTAAAAGTGCCAAGTGCCAGACCAAGACTTTGTGTTTTAAGCTCACCTGTGCTGTCTTTTTAATCAGCACCAAAGTTGTTATGAACTTTGGTGCAGATGTTATCTGTTAGAGTTCGAACTAATCCTCTTAAAATCAGTTAGCGGAAATGAAAAAGATAAAAAAAAAAAAAAAAAATGCTGAGACAGCTTTCAAATTCCTCAGAACTTAATCTGATTAGACATCTGTAAAATGTGGTGGAATATAAAAAATCAATCTAAGAAGGCCAAGCTAGAAACTAACATTCTCATGCCTCTCATGATGCGCCACACAACACCAGACGCTTAGCTGGCATGTGCAGGAAATACATAGTTGTGGAAGGATGATTCTGATAGAGTGTCATTTGATGAAATTATGTTTCAAGTGGCATCACGCTCTGCTGAAATGTCTTGATGGGAAGAGATATGCAAAAATATATCTTTCTACACACACAGACACGCACAGCTGCTGTATTTATTTTATCTGTTTTTTGGGATTGGCGGATCGATATAAACTCTGTAAGTGAGGATATATCCCTGAGGCACTTTCCCACAAACAGGCTTAACACTTTCTGCTCCCATCTCTTTTCGGTTTACAGCCTCTCTCATCCTTTAGCTTGTGTCCACTCTCCTCTTGCTCCTTTTCTTTTTTCGTACAATTGTGTATATTTTAATAATAATAATAATTCTTTAAAACAAAGCATATATGTAAAAACATAACATGATATGCAGTAAACTGTAACTTTTCCTTTATTTCACCTTTTACTTCCATTCTTTTTTTATGCTGAAACAATCTCTTCCATACAGCCCAAGTAGGAAGCGTCTTACAGAAGGTTTGATCTATTAGCTTTAAGCTGTGCGTGTCACGAGCGGTGATTAGACAGCACACTGACACAGCTTACAGTAGGCACAGTGTGTACACACACACACACACACCCCCACACACTCATGCTCTGGTGAAACATAGTGAGTCTGAGCTGCTCAGTGTTCAGGACTTGAGTGTGAATTAACCCAGAAATGCCAAGAGCTTTTTGTCTCTGTTCTTGCAGTGGGTCACTGAGCAGAACTAGAGGGTTATTTCTGATACTGCATTTCTGTTACAAAAAAAGCTTTTGATAATGGCTACATTATACACCTCCTATTCCTTGTTAATGCAATTATTGGTAGGGGTATTCTATTCAGTATTATTTGTCTCAAATGTGAGTTCTATGATGAATAGATGTTATAGATGTTATTGATATTACCCAAATCATGAGTTGATGTGGCTGTATTTTAACGTTAATCTTCTAACTTACAAAGTCCTAAGTCTCAAATATCCATTCTTGCGTCTTTACTTTGACAGGTGTCAGCCCGAACTGAAGGCAGCATCAGGAAGCGAAACCAGGCTGTGCAGCGAACCTTCAGTAAACGGCGCAGCCGCTTCTCCTCCCTCTGGGGTCTGGACACCGCCTCCAGAAGAAAGACCAAAGGACATCCCTCAGCTCAACAGGTCTTGATACATTTCACCTTCTGACTGAAGAATACATTAAAATTAATTTCTATCTCATTATCTTTACCAATAATATAATATTTCTGAAAGCCTTAAGATGAATGTGGCAGCTCTGTAAATATTTAAAGTTCATAAAATCTCTACGGCTTTGTGTGTATTTGGACTCTAATCTATTTTTCCTTGTTCTTATAGGTGTTTCAAAATGGGATGGATCCTGTAAGAAAACCGTTGGAGCTCATGTTTGAAGACTCAGCCAGCGAGATATCTGTAAGAATAAACTTATATAAATTGTTACCTAAACTAATCTAATCCAAAAAAGTTGAATTGGAAAACATTTAATAAAAAAAAACAAAAAAAAAAACACTGGGACTTGAATTGTGATGCAAACTAGTAAAATTCAGTGTATCTAGATGCTCTCTGAAGACTAATTAGAAAACAGAACCTTTGAAAAATGATGAATACTTTTGAAAGGAGTAGAGGTGGTAAAACAATTTCTAGAACAGCTTAAGTTTATTTTGAGTTTAAAACATTGAGGATTTTCAGGTACAATTTGGGAAATTTTGGCATTTTATCGGAGCGACTCCTAATACACTGGGTGCGTTTAAAGCTAGCTAACTTTAAATTAAAGAATTTAATAATTTTACACTGTTGTATAAAGTAGGTCACAACTTGTCTCGGTTTCTTTGTAGTTCTCCGCCATGCTGTAACTAAAGTGATATGAAAAAAAAAAGGCCACATCAGAGAATGTTTACATCTATACAGTAATAATCTTCACAAGGCTAAGCACAAAGAAGCAGGTCTTGTTTTGCTGTGGGCTAATTACTCATCATTGTTTGCCTTTCTTATCCGCATCCTGTGATCTATGAGAAAGATCACTGGGGCATCTGATGGATCTTTGTGCTTGTATAATAGGATAGGGGCTTCTTAAGACCCCGAGGCCAGCAGCATAGTTGGATTTTCCACCTCCTTTGGTTTTGGTAGATGCTCTAGCTCTTTATGTGATGCTTTATCTGGGGGAGGCACAACATCCCTGCACCCTTTTGCACCAGTGAGCATTCGTTTGAGGTCATTCTCAAGCTATTGCTTTAACATTTATAGACATCCACTTCTCCCCCTCGATGTGGAGTAAGTGGACAAATTTGCAGGCTTATGAAAGTTTAAAATTAGCAGTCTCTCTTCCCACACACTCAGATAATTCTGGAGCTTACAGAGCCTTGGCAAATTATCAGCCCATCTCAAACTTTTCAAAATTTATAGTATGCTTAATGGATTTATTTATGACAAAATGAATCCATTAAAAACATGACTAAAAATGAAAAAAAACGTTCAAGTGGAGTGAATACTTTTGCAGGGTACTATACTTGTGGTGTATCAGATTCTTCTGCAGATTATTCTCCAGCTTCAGAAGAAGAATTGACAAATAAAATTTTTTTTTCTGTTATCAACAATTTTCCATTACTTTTGTAGTTTTATTAGATATCAAAACAAAAACCCACATCAGTCTTGACAGATATCCATCTCTTTATTCAGTTGCTCCAGGCAATTTCAGCCAAATCAGAATCCCATTAACCATCCACTAGAGACATCTCTCTCTGCTGATCCCAGTGAGAGAAACCCGATCTGATATTTGCGGATCATTACCTCAAATTATGCAGACATTAGCTACCAAAGTGCCAGGCAGTTTCACACCATCTGTTCTCACCTGTGTTGTTCTGTACTGTCCACAATTTACAGATAATTGAACATCCCAGCAAATATTTTAACAAAGAAATCGTCGTAGATCTCATTTGGATGTTTCTGTGATTATTCATCACAGATAAGTAAATGTGTAGGGTTTTTTTTTATTATTATTATTATTTCATGAACTAGGAAGGAAAGGGTCCAATTAGGCAGAGGTTGTGCAAGGACAAGCACTCCAGCTCCATATTTCATGAGAAGCGATAAAAAAAACAGCTGAAAGTGTGGGAGAGGAAAAGACAGGCCTCTGTCTGAACCTCGCAGACAGAAGAAAAACTGGGGCAATAAACCACTCTCGCTTTGAGGGCCCCCTGCGGCAGGAGGAGAGATCAATTTCCTTCCACCCACGCCCCACCTCAGCTGGCAGGGGGTGGGGGGAGTGGGATGACCGTAAAGAAATGCACAAGAGGCAGCATGCCACGACTTTTACTGATACACAGCAAGAAACCTCACATTACTAGTGAAGATTTTTCACCTCTGACAGGCTGGCCCCTATTATAAGACTATATTTATTCTGGGGAGACCGATTGTTAACATAAGAGGAAAGTAGATAGAGGAAGATTTTTAATATGCCTGCTGGAAATCCCTCATCCCCCCCAGCAGAGGAATCTTAGATAGACCAGGAGGGAAGCCAGATGGTGCTGAGCAGCCTGGGAGTTCAGGAAGTTGGGGGAGGTATTGGTCACGGGCCCCCCAGCCTGTTTTTTGTCTGGGGAAGAAAAAAAAAAGTGCCTTTTTTTTTTTTTTTTTTTTTGTTTGGCTACATGTATTTTTTTCCACACATCTTCATGTAGTTCGATCTTTCAAAGCAAACCAAACATGCACATGCAGATACATACTGATCGTAGACTTAAGGATCCGGTTTTGTTAACTGTCGGGAGATTATTTGGCAAGAACGACGGCGGCACAGAAGCGAGCTGGTGGAGAGCCGCACAGATCGGGGAAAGGGCACCAGAAGGAGAGGCACTGATCGATGGCAGGGTGGGCGGAATTGAAGAATTGAAGAAAAAATGTGGATGCGGTTACTTGATAGGGAGAGCTAGGTTACAAACAATGTGAGGGCAAACAGGAGAGATAAAAGGAGAGAGGCCGACATGATGGCCAGATTGTTCACTCGGATCAAACTGATGGACCTACAGATTACAGTCTTTGTACAGACTCATGTTGTAAAAATGTAAATCAACTCCCACATACAGAAAACAGCATGCATCTCAAAGAAAATCTAGAAGTTTTTCAGAAGAAGCGAATGAAATAAAATCTTCAAATCATTACATGTTCACCTTGTCATTTAGAATTTTTTAAAATTTATTTTAGTTTAACTAATGAGTAAAATCCACATGGCATATAAGCTACATGGATATAATGTTTTGTCTTATTACTTGCCTTTACTCTTATATTTTGTCAGATTTTGCTCTATGCAGTATACAAGTAAACTGCATGTCTGTGTTCCATTTTCAGAAAAAAACTGAAGACTCCATGAAAACTGTTCCCCAGCAAAGCGTTGACAGTGATATTTGGGTTCCCGATTATCTGAAGCCCTCCTGGGTTTGTCTGCCAAACAATCAGCCGGTCCTGGCCATCGTTCAGCCTGGGGAGACAACATTGGATGTCCTGAGCAGCGTCTGTAAGGTAGGCCACTGTTCAGACCATTCTTATGGCTTAACAACTTTTACATGAGATCCAACAGTGTGTGTTCGAGAGAACAGAGCCCTCTATGAGTGTATGTAACAGTGATGGCCCTCCCCCTCCTGTTGCTGCTGCCAGCTGGGCGAAAGAATGCTAGACTTTCTCCTGACTCACAAGAAGAAAATTGGTTATTGGAGATAAAATAATTTTTCTGTATTTGAGAAGAATTTATTTTTGTTTATTCTAAGAAACTAATTTGTGTTTAGTACTACTGTAGATATTTCTAGATACTGCAGATGCACAAAAGCTGCAAAAAGACTTTCTAAAACCTAAAGTATCAAGATAATTTTCTGAATTCCGCGATGCTGTTGTAAATGTGTCAAATACAGTTGATGATGTGAAGATTAATGTTAACAGGTTGATATACTTTTTCGTGCTTTTTCGTGCTTTTTTTTTTACTGACGAATTATCAAAACACCTCCGTCTTCCATTGGAAGGTCAACTTGACATGACACGACAAAACAAATACACATCAAATATTTGGAGCTACCTTGGAGCAACTGCACAAATTTCTTTCCTGTCTCGTTACTTCCAGACCCATCAGATCGAGCCCTCTGGTCACTACCTGCGGGTCAAGGTGTGGGTCGACAACCAGTTGCTTTATTATGTTCCAAAACCTGAGGAGGAGATATCTGATTTGGTGAGAAGCTGCATTTTAAGGCACTTTGATTTGTGGAATCTGAATTAGGATGATGCAATAGCCAAATTGTAATCTTATTGCAGATTTCATTTAATGTTATGCTTCAAAGGATTGGGACCCTGCATAACTGTTCTGAAAACAAGATAACTAACTGATAAAGCATGTTAAAAAAAAAAAAAAAAAACATGTCAAAATGGTAAAAATGCACCAAAAGATAATATTACAGATATACTGTAGGCAGAAGTGTTTTGGAGGACCTACCTTTCATTTTTCATTCCATAACTGCAAGAAAACAAAGACATTTTTTTAACATGATACAACATAAATAAAAATATGCTATATCATATTTAGCACTTTTATCTAGGCTGGCCATCGCCCTCCTATACAGTTCTTCTCAATTCTCATTTTCATTCTGGGATTTCTCCCATTAAGCTTAATTTCTCTGGTTGAATTTTAACAGGCCCCTCAATTTTCCATAAGCTTCATTGCAGTCTTCAGAGGTGAAGAGCATAATTGTAAATATTATTCGGTGTTAGTTTTAGTCCTGACCTTGGAATATTATAACAAAACAGTTCAGATAATCAGAGTGAGTGAAAAAACTAGCCAACTGTAGAAGTCAGTTTGAGTTATCAGTGGTTTTAGTTATTTTTTTATTACACTATGAGATGAAGTAGCCACCCATCTGAACTGTAGATCCATTTCATTATAAATTAATTTTTACTATTTTTGCCGCCCGTATGGAGGCAAACCTGTGCATTTTTTATGACCCCACATTGCTGACTCGATGTGCAATGCATGCAAAATTCCCAAGACAGTATAGAGACATTTTGCAATACCTTATGAATTATGCAACAATATTCAAAGTGGACTGTGAGTACTCCGAATAAAAACCCATTTGTATTTATGTGTGTCTCTGTTTGGAGTTATTCATATACACAATCCCTATTGCTAGAAATAAGCCTCACCTCATTATTCAGCCAGAGTAAACCCCCAAAATAAATTCTCTTTGTGATGATGTTTTGCAGGTGACATGCTGAACCCTCTCTCAAAGCACACTCTCTCCATAACTGTTTTTTTTCCTCAAGAGCCTTTTTATCTTCCTGCTTTGATCAGTGACTCGTTTCGCCCTCTTTCATCCTCCGTCTGTGATATTACATTGTTATTTCTCCTCGGTGAAGGCTATTACACACAACACAGACGTCTGTCTCTGCTGTTGCTTCATACACACAGCTGTGTCTCTGCTCTCAGGTCAAAACCCCATCCTACACTCACTCATTTTACAGTCTTAACCCAGCTTCTGACCCCACAACCTTCACATGCACTTGCTCTGCAAAACAATGCATGGAGCAGTTCATTCTTTATTAAGAGCAACAGTCTGACCTTATCCATCTTACAGCAATGGTATTTTTTTTCCCATTTTCTCCAATAAAATATGTATTTATTTGTATGTGTTGGCAGATCTACAAAGAAATTGAGATTTGCCCCAAAGCTACCAAGGTGATCTGTTTTGACAAAGCAGAGTCCAGCACCATTGGATACGGTACGGAGTTCGACACACTGAGAAGCTGTATCAAATTGATTCCTTAATGGGCTTTATTGAGTTGTGCTCTGATAATTACTGAAAGAGGGCGACTTAGAGGAAGCACGTTTAGTCATAAGTGGACCTAATTGGTTCATATTTAAATCGTTGCGGTGACCTTTTTTAAATATATATTCCTGAATAACAATCACACTCTTAAAAACACATTTCCCCAGGTTTCACTGTGGCAGTTACAGTAGAGGATGATGTACTGCGGCTTCATGTCATTGAAGTGAAACCAGGAGGCCTGGCTTCAGCTAAAGGTAAATATTTTAATTTTCTTAAAGCAAACCTGTAGTATGGACTACCTTAGTTTTAATGTCTGGTAGATATTTGGCCTCTCATTGCAGAATTAGTTAACTTTAAAAAAAATATATGTTGGCTGTGCGGCATGGACCTAGACCTTGAACCACAGTACTTTAATTTTCAATAGGGATGGTACAGAAGTTGTGATGATGAAAGTCAAAGAAAGTACAGATTATTTCACACAGGATATTGATTACAATATCATCAGTTTCCTAAAATCATGCAGCTCCAAAATATATTGAATCAGAATATCAATATGAGCAATCCTGATATTGTAATAGCAATACAGGGGACCAAGATGCTAACACTCACAGAGAAAGACGGACATAGTATTATGATGTTGAAAAAACCCCAAACAAGAATAGCAATAAATTTATAAGTTAAATGTAACTCATGTCATTATTACGATAAATGACAATAATATAATTATTGCATGTTTTCTTAATATAATGAAGCCTTTATGCTTTTATTGATTTCTTAGACAACAGGTATGAGCTATCTAGGTGAAAACGATGAAGCAATTTTAAAAATAAAGGGAGAAAAAACGATCAAGAATCGTGAACAGCTTCAGTGAGTCTGTAGACATATTTCAGCCGTGATGAAACAGAAGATTAATAAAAGAAGAGCTTCTGTGCGCTCATCAGAAAGTCTAAAAAGACATGACTCATGTGCCCTATATTCCGTGTTTGTCTGATGATTTATACATTTTTCCTTAAGGCGGGAAGTGCCTAAACCTTTATCCATAAGATAATACGATTCAAGGCTCTATTTCGTTTGTCTGCTTTGGGAAGGTAGATTTCAAGATCACCTCATCTGTCCCCCACTCACAGGTCTCTATCTTTTAAGCGAGGCAGAGAGACCTAATGGGTTTGAGAGACATGCAGCCGTTTCGTGGACACAGCACTAATGTATAGAAAATAACATGCTCCAGTACCATGTCCCGAGGTCGAACCAAGGTTACTCAAGTGTGAGATTGTGGCCTCCAGTGTATTAGCAATCAAAAAGCTGCTATCTTAGCAAGGCTGCATGCAGCCAGAGGACACAGCTGTACTGACTCTCCACCTCTGCTGGGAGGGAAAAAGGTTGTGTCAATCAGTGAGCTTTGGTAGTTGATCTTAGTGCAATGTAACACTGTTTACATTGCAAGGAAACCAAAGGTATTTTTTCCTGTCAATGTAGCTACTGTTGCCACTACTTTCATATAAGCATACATGTAAACAATGTGGTGCAAAAGTATTCATACCTCTTGATCTTGATTTTTTTTTTTTTTTTTTTTTTTAGATTTGGTCACATTAAAACCAAAAACCTCAAACAATTTTAATTGGGTTTTTAAAAGAACCA